TTGCATGCCATAATGACGGTGCCATTTGGAAAAAGCGTCTGACATTCCTCACATGACAATTCTTCAAATAGTTGAACAATATTTTCTCAAAGTTTTAAATGTTTGCAAGGTCAATATCCCATGCGTGATGGGTGTGACTGTGAACATGCTCATACCCCATAGCTCTTGCTGGGTCTGTACTGTTCACAGGGTGGGGTGGGGATGTTCTCGTTCCCAACACTGTCTTCTCCAGATGTGCATGGCTCATGCAGAGCCAGGGCAATTATCCTTTCTGTAGTTCTAGATGCCTATGAGAATCTTTTTCATGTCCTTATAAAGTTAGTTTATGAAAATACAAGTAAATATGCATATATATTCTCACCCGAGTTTTTAGAGTCTTTTTTTGTTTTTTTGAGACAGTGTCTCACTTTGTTGCCCAGGCTAGGGTGAGTGCCGTGGCATCAGCCTAGCTCACAGCAACCTCAAACTCCTGGGCTCAAGCAATCCTCCTGCCTCAGCCTCCTGAGTAGCTGGGACTACAGGCATGCGACACCATGCCCGGCTAATTTTTCCTATATATATTAGTTAGCCAATTAATTTCTATTTATAGTAGAGACTGGGTCTTGCTCTTGCTCAGGCTGGTTTCAAACTCATGACCTCGAGCAATCTGCCCACCTCGGCCTCCCAGAGTGCTAGGATTACAAGCGTGAGCCACCGCGCCTGGCCAGTTTTTAGACTCTTATGCTATACATACTTGTTCTGCATCTTGATTTTTTTTTTAAACTTAGGAATATATCTTGGGATTTTTCCCTATGAATTCATAAAGAGCTTATTCATATTAATATTTTTAATGGTTGCTTGTTATTCCATTGTATGAATCTATCATACATGTTCATATACTTTGAACAATGTCTTATTGAAGGACATTTAAATTGCTTACAATATTTTGTTGTACAAATCATATGTATATATGTCCTTTTTATAATTTGTACATTTCCAACTTTATAATCATGGGATTCTCTAAATAGATACAGAAACAGCTCTTGATAAAGAACAGCACCTATTGATGACAAGAATTCTTAGCAAACTAAGATCTCCTGACAACAAGCAAAAAGAATTAAAACCCAGTAGAAAAATGGGAAAATAATATAAATAGCCAATTCATAAAAGATGAAATCCTGAAGCTACGCATATAAAAAAATGCTCAAACTCGTTCTTAATTAGAAAAGTTAGATAGATGTCTTTGCCAGGACTTCTGGCAGTATGGCCAGTCAGGAGGCAAATTCAAGGCAACATGAGGGAAATCCATGTTTAGGCAAGGGCTCTTCTTGGTTCCCAGCCTTTCTACCGTTATTTCTCTTCACATGGTCACTGAACATGGGTCAAAGCTGTCTGGAGAGGTACCCTCCTCAAGCAGGAGATCCGAGAACCACCCCCTGCAGGTGCTCCTGTGTGTCCCTATCTGGCTCACGGATGCTCTCTGCAAGCAGAAAACCCCATGGCAGCCTTATAGGGCCAGTCATGAGCACCTAGCTAGTTAACAAGACTGTTTTCCTTTTAACACCTGATAGGGCTCAGCCCCACTCAAAACACAAGATTGTTCACGGAAGAAGGAGAAAGACCAGTCATTTGCAAGAATTTCTCCCCAAAACAGGTTGGGAAGGGCCACAAAGTGGAGAGACCAGGAGAGCTGGGCAGTGGAGCAGGGCAAAGGCAAAGCTCAGGCCCAGGAGAGCAGAGCCTTTGGTCTCTGTTCAAACTCGAGGTGCGAGCTTCTCTGAACGCAGCCCTGGGGCCTCCTGAATATACAGAGTGTTTACCTCCAACAGCCCAGTGTGCTGCAGCCCCGCTCCACGTGGGCAGTACCTCCACAGCACTGGCGACTGCCTTACAGTTGTTATCACATTTCTCCTTTTTCTTTTTGTTTTGTTTTTTAAGATTTTTTTTTTTTTTTGACAGAGTCTCGCTTTGTTGCCCAGGCTAGAGTGGGTGCCGTGGCATCAGCCTAGCTCACAGCAACCTCAAACTCCTGGAGAGCTCAAGCAATCCTGCTGCTTTAGCCTCCCGAGTAGCTGGGACTATAGGCTCGTGCCACCGTGCCTGGCTAACTTTTTCTATATATATTAGTTGGCCAATTAATTTCTTTCTATTTATAGTAGAGACGGGGTCTGACTCTTGCTCAGGCTGGTCTCCAACTCCTGACCTCGAGCAATCTGCCCGCCTCGGCCTCCCAGAGTGCTAGGATTACAGGCCTGAGCTCACGGCAACCTCAAACTCAAGCGATCCTCCTGCCTCAGCCTCCTGAGTAGCTGGGACTACAGGCATGGGACTACAGGCATTCCTGGCTAATTTTTTCTATATATTTTTAGTTGTCCAGATAATTTCTTCCTACTTTTTAGAAGAGATGGGGTCTCGCTCTTGCTCAGGCTGGTCTCGAACTCCTGACCTCAAGCAATCCTCCCGCCTTGGCATCCCAGAGTGCTAGGATTACAGGTGTGAGCCACCACGCCTGGCCCACATTTCTCCTGGAAAGGGCACTGGAGCTCTGGAGAGTGAGCCAGGCCCCGAGAACAGAGAGACACAGCAGGAGGCACGAAGCAAGCTGATATATTTTATTTTATCTGGAGAACGCTGGAGCCAAAGCTAGCTCCTTGTCAAACACTTGCACATTGTCAGAAAACCAGGCCGCTGGGAAGCGGGTCCAAAGAGAGCGATGGCGGTACTATTTCTTCCTTTTGGCTCCTGGACTACTGGATGGAGCAGGTCACCTGGCACTTAGAAAATGGGGCGTGGGGGACATGGGAGCCAGGGAGAGCGTGGCACACTTTCCACAGGAGGCAGTGCTTCCCGTGGGCAGCTCCTCTCTGGGCCGTTTTAGTACCTCAGACTAACGAAGGTCCTGAGCGGGGGAAATGACCAAGGCTGGCAGCCCCAGCAGTGTGTAGGTAACTGCTGCTGGGAGAGGCCCCGGCTAGGCCACCTGCAGACCTCCCCTGGGGTTGCCAGCCTCTCAAGAAAGGCATGCTAGACTGGGCGTGGTGGCTCACGCCTGTAATCCTAGCACTCTGGGAGGCAGAGGCGGGAAGATTGCTCGAGGTCAGGAGTTCGAAACCAGCCTGAGCAAGAGTGAGACCCCGTGTCTACTATAAATAGAAAGAAATTAATTGGCCTACTAATATATATAGAAAAAACTAGCCGGGCATGGTGGCGAATGCCTGTAGTCCCAGCTACTCGGGAGGCTGAGGCAGCAGGATTGCTTGAGCCCAGGAGTATGAAGTTGCAGTGAGCTATAATGATGCCACTGCACTCTAGCCTGGGCAACAAAGTGAGACTCTGTCTTAAAAAAAACACAAAAAACAAAACAAACAAACAAACAAAAAAATAAAAAAAAAAAAAAAAAAAAAAAAGGCATGTTAGTGAGCCTTGAGGAGGGGTCTCCTCCCACACTGACCATCCCATTTCCAGCCCCTTCAAAGCACTCCTGGGGCCTGGAATGCAAAGAGAATGCAGCTGTCAGAGCAGGAATTTCTCATGGGTCCCGCCTAAGCTATCGTTTGAGGAACACAGGGAAATAGAAACATCAACTTACACCCTGATTTCTCTGAGAGGGAAACATAAAAATAGAAAATACAGCATTGTGCTTATTTGCTTTCATGTCTAAGAACCCAGAAAATATTCACTCATTCCCACCAGTAATAAATGAAATACTCCCATCCTATCAGGCTCAGCCCAAAAAGGGAATCTTTAATGGTGGGATTTCAAGTGTTAGCAAGCCTACAGGGGAGATTTTGGGGGTCAGCGAGCCCATCCAATGGCCTGGACCCCCTCCAAGGGGACCCCTACCCTGCATCTGGGCTGGAACTGAGGATTGAGCCATGTAGTTCCGACTTACTTCTTGTCAGGATCTCTGACCCTCTTTCCCTGCCCACAGCCAAAGTGTCCGTCCCTTCTAGTTCTTTCATCCCCTAAAACCCACATGCACCCTGGCTCTCTAAGGCTCTGCCCACTCAGCCCACCATGGGGCAGCTGTCCTGGTCCTGTGCTCCCTGCTCAGGGCTCAGAGGACCCAGCTGCAGCTGGGCTGGCCTCTGGACAACGCCCTGTCCCCAGAAGACCCAGCCCAGCTGCCACCCGACTCTCCCCAGAAACAGTTTTTGGCTGTGAGTGTAGTGGTGTTTGTTCATATGCTTGACAGACACAGGCTTTTAGTTTTTGTAAGTTTTTTAAATATTAAAATCTAAAAGAAATTTACTGAAGCATAATGTGTACACAGAAAAGTGTACAAATTATAAGTGCACAGCTCCCTAAACTATCATAAAGTGAATTTACCAATGTAACTATCACCCAGCTCAGGATAAAGGACAGATAAACTTAGTTTGAGACACTTGCCACCAGCCAGGTGAAATTCAGCGCTAGTGTCCGTGCTAGGCATTCTCGTACTTCTAGTCTGACAAGGCCTGACAAGATTTCAAAGTCTCGCACGGTAGTGTCTGTGCCTGTGATGTAAGTTTGTGCAGAGAAGACGCATCTCACACTAGGTCAAAGGCCTCTAGTGGGCAGGACCCCAGCTGTAAGTTAGGTCGTCTGGAGGTAGAATTTGAATGACTGAATGAATCCAGATCGGGGAACGTGGGTGCCCGAGCTCGGAGTCTTTAGATGTCACAGGAGGACAAATGGCCAGAGTCTCCACTCAGGCACCACGGCAACATTGTTACCTCCCCCTACAGAGGCAGCCCTGGGGTGTAGAAAGTCATTATCCTGCTCTTCGATTCATCCTACACACCTGGACTAAACATCCGCCTTGGCCCAGGGACGGCAGCTAAGTCAGGCACAGTCCCTGCCCTCTCGGAGAAGGCTGAGGCACCCAGCGTGTCAGGGACTGGCAAGAAAACCTCACGGGGTTCTGCGCCCCTGCCCCACCCTGCTCCGGTCCTGGCTCCCCCAGGGAGGGTGCTGGGGCTGTCACCAGGCTGGCGGTAGAGAGGAAGGTGCGGTGACCAGCTGTCTCTGCTCTTCTGCAGGCCCTGCCATCCCGGTGGGCGTGGACGTGCAGGTGGAGAGTCTGGACAGCATCTCGGAGGTGGACATGGTACGCAGCGCCCGGCTGGGCGGCCTCCGGCCAGGGTGGCGTGGGCCGAGCGCTGGGAGAGCCTGTGACCTGGCGGGCCTCGGTGGTGCGAGCTGCGCTGTGGGGAGAGAGCGGGAGCTAAAGCTCACAAAATGGGAAATTGGAAGTTGGCTCAGGTGCACTGAAATCTAGAGTGGGGACCCTCAAGCTTCATGGCCAAAGGATAACTTGAGGGGCTGGTTAAATGCAGACTCCTTGGCTCTAACACACACTTGCTAATGGGAGTGAGGCTGGCACTTTGCATTCTGAACACACTGTTCAAGGGATGCGGGTGGTCAGATGAACCACACTTGGAGGAGTGCTGGAGGGAGACAGTTTCAGGCTGAAATTCTGCAGTTCTTTGATTCTCAGCTCCTGCTGTAGCGCAGCTCCCGACTCACTCTTGGCACTCTGTGTACCACCGCATGCACACACACCCCGGCTGTCCTGCAGAGGCTACCCCCGTCCCCACTCCCACCCCCATCTCGTCCTCCTTCTGTGCACTTCTGTTCCAGTCTGCAGACATCTCTTTTGTCTGTCTTAGGGACCTTGAATATGCTCTTGCTCTGGCCCTCCCCACAGTTGTGTCCTTGTCCTTTAGGTCTCAGCTAAGGTGAACCTTCTTTAAAGAGGCTTCCCTGACCTCCTGACCCAGAGTTTCTGTTTTTCCTTCCACAGCCCACGTCATCATTTATAATTGTGCTATATATTTATTTTGGAGTTTTCTTGTATATTGGTGGTCTCCCACACTTGACTACAAGCTCCACGAGTGCAGGGAATTATCTTTTATTTTTCACTCCTGTATCTCCACTGGGGACCCTGAAAACATGTGTGGAATGAATGCAAGTAGGAGAGGCTCCCCTTCCCCATGGCAATGCCACTGTGTGTCCTTGAAGGGTGGCAGCTGCCCTGGCTCCTGACGGACCCAACACAGCAGAGCTGATACGATCGATACTGATGCTGTGCACCCTATAGCTCCAGCACCTGGCAAAAAGTGGGGTGATGCAGGTATGACAGTTTCCAAGATGCTAGAGTGTACACTGCCTGCCCCTTTGGATGTCCAACATCTGGGTCCAGCTGCAAAACCAGGTGGGTCTGGGACCAGTTTGGCAGCCTTAGACCTGAGCCAACCCAGATGTCCACTCTGGGTGTGAAGACTCACCTCTCTGTGTGGCTCAGGATTCCAGGAAGAGGTATCTAGAATGACTTGCCTGTCTTAGAGCAGCCACCAACCAGTGGGAAAGCAGGCAGACTCCAGCACAAAGAAAGGGGGACGTAGGTGACACCCAAGGTAGCCATGCATGGCTGGTGTTGTGAGCCTGCAGTATGGCACTTCCCCTGGGCGACCTCCCCCAGACCCTGCTGTTCACCTGCATGTCCTAGAGGGAAGGAGCCAGAGGAGCCCTTGGCCGATCTCTTCCTACTCCTGTATGGGCTGCTCTCCTTGTGGCTGGATGGCGTGTTCCTGGCCGGCGTGATGTCCTGGGGGCTGGGACCAGTCTAGGTCAGACTCTCATGTAGGCACAACCTCAGTGCCCGTTCTTCCCTCCCTTCCTGGGCCTGCCACCACCATGCACTCGTCCCATCCTTCCTCCACCTGCTCCCAGGAGAGGATCTTTGGGGCAGTTATTTTCCCATTTGCTCCTTGTGCCTTACTCTGGTGTGGAGAAGGGCCATACTCTTGGTTTAAGGCAACAACTATGCGGGCAAGGAGACACTTGTTAACAGGATAAGCTTTCTGGCTGAATTATAGTAGGTATACAGCTGTCCATCCCTTCATCTGTTATGCCCCCACTTTCCAATCCAGCAACGATTTACTCAATTGAGTACTTAATTCAGTGGTGAGTGGGGATCCAACAGTGGACAGGACACGCTTCTTCCTTCAAGGATCTAATGGTAGAAACCTTCCTAAGAGGGAGACGTGATTGTCCAGGTTCTGCAAGTGGCCACTAAGCTGAAGTGGAAAGGTTAGCTGGCGGGTAATGAACCGTGGGTGCAGAGGCCTAGGTGAGAGAGCAGGCTCTGGGGAAGTCCTGCCCTGCTGGCCACCAGAGCAGGCTGTCAGCATCACAGCTGCAGTTTTCATTTGCAAAGACTGAAGGGCTGGTTCCTCAGTCTCCTGGGCTCCAACTTCATGATGCATAAAAACGAGCCATTCTCCTTCAGATCACAGCAGTGCCATTGCCTTGGATGTTTTGCCACGGAGCTGCAGAACTGTTCCCTCCAACCCTTGAGGCTGAGCCCGAGATGTAGACAGTGGTGGATGGTGAGTCAATTGTAAGGAAGGAGGCTTCTAAGCCATTTCTGTCTGGTCTCGCCCTGGCTCCCACAGGACTTCACCATGACCCTGTACCTGCGGCATTACTGGAAGGATGAGAGGCTGGCCTTCCCCAGCACCAGCAACAAGAGCATGACCTTCGACGGCAGGCTGGTGAAGAAGATCTGGGTCCCCGACGTCTTCTTTGTCCACTCCAAAAGGTCGTTCACTCACGACACCACCACTGAGAACATCATGCTGAGGGTGTTCCCGGATGGCCACGTGCTGTACAGCATGAGGTAGCTGTCCAGGGTCTCTGTTCCTTTGGCCAACACCATTATCGTATGCATGGTCAGTCCCTTTGACACTGAAGAGTCTGTCACTGTGCTCGGGTCTGTGGGCTGTGTGGGGTGGTCTGAGCCTTCTGCTGCCAGTCAGAACTGTGCAAACATGAAACGGCCACCCCGTAGGTGGCACCTTCCTCATCACTGGGGGGTCTTAAGCTTGGATTAGAAGACGGCTTTGGCCTGAACAAGTTGATGGGGACAATGCCCTTCTATGTACTGTACCTTTCGCCCCTGAGAGCCTATGGTTTTAGTTGATTGGTAATAAGGGTTTTACAAAAACACCAATGGCTACTGATTACTGGGTGCTACTGCAGATGGGCTTTGGGGCTAACCTGAGTGACTGAAGAGTCGATTCCACATCATCCCGGCCTGCTTGTCCAGCTCACCAGAACTAAATGCTGCTGCCAGGCCCTTCCTGGCCTAGGGAAGGGTGGGCAGGGAGGGGAGGCCTAACCTCCCGGCATCTCTGGGGGAGGTGGCCCTGCCGGCTGAGGGCAGTGCCCAGAGGAGCGGGCAGGCGTGAGCCACTAGCAGCCAGTGCCCCTGTGGCTGTGGGAGGGGCACAGCTCACCAGCCCCTTCAAGGGGCCTGGCAGCGCACTAATAATCTGCTACAGAAGACAAAACTCTGCAAACGAAGGTTCTGTGACTTAGACACCTGTGTTTCCAGACTTCTGAAGTAGATGTGAGGAGGCAGCTGCTCTGGGTTGCAGGTGCGTGAGCCAGCAACTCGCACAAGCCGATGTCTGTGTTTGGGTTGTCTAGGATTACTGTCACTGCCATGTGCAACATGGACTTCAGCCACTTTCCCCTGGACTCCCAGACCTGTTCTTTGGAGCTGGAGAGCTGTAAGTATCAGCTTCCCTGATGCCTTCACTGTGTTCCCTCTGCGGCCTTTGTGCCACTTTAGTCACCCCGAGACAGCGCCGCCTGCCAGCGTCACGGCCCGTTTACTCCGGTCCACTCCTAGACCGGGTAGGAGCTCCCTGTCGCTTTACCCTGCATCAGGGGCAAAGGGGGCAAACTAACCTGTTTTCCTCTCCCCGAAGATGCGTACACAGATGAAGATCTGATGCTGTATTGGAAGAACGGGGATGAATCCCTGAAAACGGATGAGAAGATCTCCTTGTCCCAGTTTCTGATTCAGAAATTTCACACAACGTCCAGACTGGCCTTCTACAGCAGCACAGGTAGCTACCTTTCGCCACAGTCTGATTCAAATGTGAAACAACAACAACAACAGAAAACAACATTTGAATTCTTTAGCCCCAATGAAAATAAATTTTTTTTTTTTTTTTTTTGAGACAGAGTCTCGCTTTGTTGCCCAGGCTAGAGTGAGTGCCGTGGCGTCAGCCTAGCTCACAGCAACCTCAAACTCCTGGGCTCGAGCGATCCTTCTGCCTCAGCCTCCCGGGTAGCTGGGACTACAGGCATGCGCCACCATGCCCAGCTAATTTTTTTTATATATATATATCAGTTGGCCAATTAATTTCTTTCTATTTATAGTAGAGACGGGGTCTCGCTCTTGCTCAGGCTGGTTTTGAACTCCTGACCTTGAGCAATCCGCCCGCCTCGGCCTCCCAAGAGCTAGGATTACAGGCGTGAGCCACAGCGCCCGGCCAGAAAATAAATTTTGATTACTAAAATAATGCATAGTCCCACAAAATACACATAACACTTAAAAGCAGTAAGCAAAGAGTGGAGAACTTGCCGTCTCCTGAAATCCCATCACTAGAGGGAATCACTCCCCACAATTTAGCAAACACTCTTCAAGACATCTTGCTTCAATGGTGTAATCTTACAAAGCTGGGCTCTTATTTTACGTGCTGTTCTGTAAGCGGTTTCATTCTGCTGAGCACTATGGATGGATAGCTTTCTGAGGAACTGCATTTTATTAGCTATATCGAGATCTGTAGATTTATTTTTAATGCTTAGTGTAACCTCTTCTCAGACCCTGGGCCAGATTTGAAGTTTTGAGAGGATCAATTTATCAGCTCTTCTCTAATCTCACCATTAACTCTTGTGTTAGTTTCCTAAGGCTTCCCTTAACAGCGTACCACCCACTAGGCGCTTAAAACAACAAAGATTTATTCCCTCACGGTTCCCTGCTCCCTCCGCAGGCTCTAGGGCAGAATCCTTCCTCTTCCTGGCCGCTGGTGGCTGCCAGCAATTCTCGGCTGCCCTCGGCTCACAGCTGCGGCTCTCTGACCTCTGCCTCCATCGTCACGTGGCCTTCGCCCCGTGTCTGTGTCTTCACATGGAGTTCTCCCTGTGTGCCCACGTCCAAATTTCCCTCTCCTGTAAGGATTTCAGCCATCGAATTAGAGCCCCCACTAATCATCTCGCCTTGATTACATCTGCAAAGACTCCGTTTCCAAATAAAGTCACATCCACCGGTACTGGGAGTGAGGACTTCTCACACAATGTCCCTTTAGCTCGGCAGGTGATCACTGCGGGTCTCCACGTGTGAGGGCGAGCCAGGGCCTGAGGGGGATAGAGTTACGCTCAGCTCTTGGTTCCTGCCCTCAAGGACTTTCAAGGAACTGAGCAGAAGTCCCATAGCGTGGAGATGCTCACGACATGCAATGGTGTATATGTGGGTGCTAAAACGTCCATCTGCGTAGAGTGAATGATTTCGGTTCTGGAAAAAAGAGACCTAAATCACAATTGGCTGGAATGACTAAGGCTGGCCTCCTGGAGGAGTTGAACGCAAGCTGGACAGGTGGGCGGGGAGAGAAGAGGCTCAGAGATGGGAGTGAGCAGTGTGGGCAGAGGCCCGTGACCTCAACCTGGCTGCACGTGAGGAGCTTTATGGTGAGGTTCTGATTCAATCAGTCCGGGCTGGGGACCTAGGCACGGGCATGTAAAAGTTCCCCAGGCTCACAGCAGCACTATTCATAATAGCCAAAAGGTAGAAAGAACCCAAGTGTCCATCAACAGATGCATGGAAAAATAAAATGTGGTAAATATACACAATGGAATATTACCCAGCCTTAAAAAGGAATGAAATGATGATTCATGCTACAATGTGGATGGATCTTGAAACCATTGTGCTAAGTATATAATAAAGTCACAAAAGAACATATGTTGTATGATTCCACTTCTATGAAGTAACTAGAACAGGCAAGTTCACAGAGACAGAAATAGTATGGAGAGTTCCAGCAGCTGGGGGGAGGGAAATGGAGAGTTACTGTATAATGGGTGCAGAGTTTTTCTTTGGGATAATGAACAGGTTCTAGAAGTGCATGATAGTGGTGGTGGTGGTACAACAATGTGAATATGCCCAATGGCAGTGTCTGGCCAGGCCACTGGAGACCCATGTTGACCCAAGCTCATCTATGACTCAGCCTGAGGTCTTTGGAAAAGCCTCTGAGAGTCCCATTTCCTCATGTCCCCAGTGGCAGACTTTAGAATCAGGTGACAGCCTGATTTCTTCTTGCAATGCATGTGGAAATCGTGTGAGTGTCCAATTTCACAATAAAGAGGACAGCTATCGTGGCTCCTGCCTCAGTGGCATTGGCCTTAGTAAGGCAGAGCCACTCAACTTCTTGCACTCTTGCACTGCGAGTCACTCGGGGAACATGCTTGGAGTTTGCAAGTAACAAATAGCAAACAAACAACTTCTGTTTAGTTCTACCCTTCCCTAAATGCTGTGAAGAAAAGTTAGATAACATCTAATAAGATAGTCAATGTACAAGACGATATTAACAAGAGAGAGGGCTTAGAGTGTGGAAAAGAAAGGTATTATATTAAGCCAATTGCTCATGAACATTAACCTTCTGTTGCTGGTGAGAGCAATGTCAGGGGAAGAGGGGCTTCCAGGGCAGGAGTTTGTTTTTAACCTCTCAGGTGGAACCTCACTGGCTTCTTCCTGTGTCTCGCAGGCTGGTACAACCGTCTGTACATCAATTTCACGCTGCGTCGCCACATCTTCTTCTTTTTGCTGCAAACCTATTTCCCCGCCACCCTGATGGTCATGCTGTCCTGGGTGTCCTTCTGGATCGACCGCAGAGCTGTGCCTGCCAGAGTGTCGCTGGGTAAAAGCATTTCATAAGATGTGGTAGGGTGGCTATTTTTTTTTAATACTGATCACTATGTAAGGAAAAAAATACAATCCTTATTCAGAGTTTTGAACTGATGATCTGCCAGAGTCGAAGGGAGCAACTCTTCCTCCTGCTTCTTGCCTTCCCCGTTCAGACATGGGCCTGTTTCCTCTACCGCATTATGAGAACCACAGGGAGCTAAAACTCCAGCAGCTGTGACTGCATCGCTTTAGGTGGCCTATTTGGGATATAGACATCCACGACTGGCAGTATCAGAGCTCAGTACTTAGATAAATAAGATGATTCTGCAAACACCAACAGTTTATCCTGTACATGCAAAACCTTCATTTGCTGGCCTTGTTTAGACAGACTGAGGGCTTGGAGGCAGGGCCCACAACACGTGTGATTTCTGGGAAGGGGAGGGCTGCATTCCTTGGAGCTGTGGTTTCGCCCTTCACAGACTCTGAATTCCAGAGTGAAAGCTTACAACTCATCATTGTAAATTTGGACAAAGTTAGGTTGGGCTTTGAGAAATGTGAGAGTTTAACCAGCAAGAAGGCACGATGGAGAAGAAACTAGCACAATGGGTTTCTGAGAATTGCCACAGCCTTCATGGACTTACCAATCATGGCTTAGATGAGGGAGAATGTCTTCATTCCTTGAGGTTTGGGAAAGTTGCTTTAGAAATGTTCTTTAGTCTCTGTCCTTTTTTTTTTTGAGACAGAGTCTTGCTCTTTTGTCCGGGCTAGAGTGCCGTGGCGTTAGCCTAGCTCACAGCAACCTCAAACTCCTGGGCTCAAGCAATTATACTGCCTCAGCCTCCTGGGTAGCTGGGATACAGGCACATGCCACCGTGCCTGGTTAATTTTTTCTATTTTTAGTTGTTTGGCTAATTTCTTTCTATTTATAGTAGAGACAGGATCTCGCTCTTGCTCAGGCTGGTCTCGAACTCCTGACTTCAAGCAATCCTCCTGCCTCAGCCTCCCAGGGTGCTAGGATTACAGGGTTGAGCCACTGCACCCGGTCTAGTCTCTGTCTTTAATTCCACGTCAGAGCAGGTCCTCTCCGAAGCATGCCTCACCTTGCCAGCCACGTCACAGAAAGCCAGTCTCCGAGGGGCTTGAAGTGAAAGGAGAGGCGCAGCGAGTTGGGGGGCGGGGGCAGAGACAGGCCTGGCTGCTGGTGCAGCAGATCCCAGCAAGGTGTCTGGGGAATTGCTCATTCAATTTAAGAGATAGAGAATGTAGAATTGCAACCTAGTGGGCTGTTGGGGGCATCCCTATACCATTGTCAGCAGCTGAACTAAGACCGGGTGTTGCAGGCATCACAACGGTGCTGACCATGTCCACCATCATCACGGGCGTGAACGCCTCCATGCCCCGCGTGTCCTACATCAAGGCCGTGGACATCTACCTCTGGGTCAGCTTTGTGTTCGTGTTCCTCTCGGTGCTGGAGTACGCGGCCGTCAACTACCTGACCACGGTGCAGGAGTGGAAGGAGCGCAAGCTGCGGGAGAAGGTAGGAAGGTTTCTTCGTTCCCTTGTCTAAGCCCTGCTGCGGGTTGGATGAGAATAAGAAGGTCGGTGGGGCAGACGGCCCACCAGAGTTTGCATGTAGAAAAAGATGTGGATGCAAAAGGAGGATCCTATTTTACAATGCGTTCCAACTTCTACCACAAAGGATCCCAGAAAGCAGAAAGTCTTGGACAAAGACTGGAATGGAAAGATCTGTGTTCTTAGACCCAACTCTGCTATGCTTGGCCTCAGTTTCCTCATCTGTAAAAGGGGGGATAACAGAACCTCACCTCCCAGGGTTATTGTAGAAGTCACATGGGATAACCTATGTGAAAGTTGTTTTGAAACTGTGAGGTTCTAGACACAAACTATCACTGTTATTACTGAACACGTCTAGAGGAAATGCCTCCCTGTCTTATGACCAGAGAAGGGGACAGTGCTAGAACAAAAAGCTCCTTTATTTTTCACTGCTCTGGCCCAGTGAAAATTCAGCCACATCACAGATTAAAGATAAATATTTTGTTTTTATTTATTGGAAATACCATGCTGCACTATACTACAGTTGGCCCTTGAGCAACATGGGGATTGAGTGCCAACTGTCACACAATTGAAAATCCGAGTATAACTTTTGGCTCCCACAAAACTTAACTACTAATAGCCTACTGTTGACTGGAAGGCTTACTGATAACAGAAACAGTCCATTAACACGTATTTTGTGTATTATATGTATTACAGACTATATTCTTACAATAAAGTAAGCCAGAGAAAAGAAAATATTATTAAGAGAATCATAAGGAAGAGAAAATCTATTTCCTATTTATTAAGTGGAAGTGGATGATCATAAAGGTCTTCATCCTTGTCATCATCATATTGAGGAGGAAGGGGAGGGGTTGGTCTTACTGTCTCAGGGGTGGTAGAGGCAGAAGAAAATCTATGGATAAGTGGACTCATGTAGTTCAAAACTGTTGCTCAAGGATCAACTGTATACTGTGAGATAGAATGCAAATGAGAAATTTTACAAAGCAATGTTCATGGGCCTTTGGCATAGGGAGGGAAAGTATTTCATTCATATTCAGACTCTTACTAATCACAGTAAGAAATACAGAATGCCAAATTGCTAACCAATGCACTAATCAAAATGAGTGTTCACCTAAAAGGTGTAGAGATCAAGGGACACGAAAATCCTACATTCATGAGTATCTGGCTGGCTGTTAGCCCCTTAACATGAGGGAGCTTTACATTTTAGGAAAGGAGGATATGTTGCCTTTTCGAAAATGGTTTTTCAATGACCACATTACACCTGTCAAATATTTCCACATTATCTGCAAATAAACTAGACTGTTTAAGAATTTATTTTTAAAACTATTCAAACCTTTTTTTGCTTCAGCATTTGAGTACTTAAGTTTTCAATAATTTGTACATTGATCGTTATCAAAGACCTTTGGATTATATTTAATCACTTTTGATTTATAACCCATTAGATTTTCCTGTATAGAGCTGTACAAAAAAATGTAAAGCTTTCATCAGACAAATACAGGCTCATGAACCATTAACTACACGCGTGACTCCTATTCAGGCAGTTCCTTAACCTGCTTTCATACGATGGGCCCTGGTCTTTGCCAGTGATTATATGACACTGTTCAAAGAGCAACAGGAAGTCATACTCAGAAACGCCTTTGGGCCGTAGGTCTGTCTCTCTGTCCCTGTGAGAACAGACATCTGGGAGGTGACAGCTTATACTTCACTGTTTTCAAACACGTGATTTAAAGGCGGAGACACATAGTTGCTGGAGAGCAGACAATGGTGGGAAGACACAATCTCTCTCCTGCTGCCCCACAGAGAAATGAATATTCATGATCATTAAGATGGCCCCCAGTAGAGAGGTTCCCAAGCAGGAGCCAAGGAGCACCTGCCCTGGAATCAGCCGAGCCTGTTACAAATAAAGATTCCCAGGCCATACCCCAGACCTACTGATCAGATTCTCTGGATGGCACCCTGGAATCAGCATTTCTAACAAAGTCTCAGGCTCACTGAGGTTTGACCTCCACTCCATATAGGACACAGCTGCCTGCGACTGGGTAGACCCACCCCTAGTTCAAGTGGTGAACTCTTTTTTAGAAATAAGCTGATACGGAGGGATCAATCAGAATATTTGACTTTTCCTGATTCTAACTCAAAATCATAGGAGAAAAGTCTGTTTTCATTTTAGCAGAAAGTATTGCAGTTTAGAGCAAGGAAAAGAAGTAAAGACTTGTGCCTTAAATAAATAACCCCAATGACAATATTTTACAATTTCATCAAAATTTGCATACCTAAATGCAAAGAGTTGAATAAATGATCTCTGACTCATATCTATGGGTCCATGTTAATTGTTAAAAGATGAGTTAATGTGTTACTTAATTACTGTTACTGATGGGACAAGACATAGAAATAATAATGAAACAATCAAGCCTGCTGAAGAAAAATAGCCCCCCAATCACAAATGATTTCTTCAAGCATAAGAATACTTTGAGTAATTCTAATTTCACTTTAGAATTCATTTATCTATTTTTGCATTCCACAGCTTTATGATATTCATCTATTTTAAGATCTCTCATTATGGAAGGCAGATTGTGAAATGTTATTATTTCATTTTTCCAGATGGAAAAACAGAGGTACTGACGGGCTGGGGCCAGGTCAGAAACGTGGTGAAGTCAGCAGGTTGGGAGGAATAAACAAACCCATGGTCAGCTGGCTGGTCAAGCAGGCCTCGTGCTTTCGGCCAACACTGAAAGCATCTAGGCATCAGTGGAAGCCCACTCTCTGCTGACTCAAACTGTGGGGAGAAGTCAAGCAAAATGATCTCTTCCCCTCTAACTTAGACTTTCTTACAAACATTTTCATACTTACAGATGTAATCGAAAGAATAGAGAAATGTATACCTGTACACCCCACACCTAGGTCCAGCATTGCCGACATTTTGCAATTTTTGTGTGAGTGCTTTCTCCATGTAAGCATATTTTTGTTGGTGCAGTTGAACATTTTAAAAATACACTGCAGGCAGCCGCCATGACCTTGCTTCTTTTTTTTTTTTTTTTTTTTGAGACAGAGTCTCGCTTTGTTGCCCAGGCTAGAGTGAGTGCCGTGGCGTCAGCCTAGCTCACAGCAACCTCAAACTCCTGGCTCAAGCAATCCTACTGCCTCAGCCTCTCGAGTAGCTGGGACTACAGGCATGCGCCACCATGCCCGGCTAATTTTTTCTATATATATATATATATATATATATATTAGTTAGCCAATTAATTTCTTTCTATTTATAGTAGAGATGGGGGTCTCAGTCTTGCTCAGGCTGGTTTCGAACCCCTGACCTGGAGCAATCCACCCGCCTTAGCCTCCCAGAGTGCTAGGATGACAGGCGTGAGCCACCTCACACGGCCACCCTTGCCTCTTAAATATAACTCTTCAGCATAAGGACACTGTTTTACCTACTCGTCTTTTGATTAATGCACGGAGAGGTGAAGTCCTGCAGCTGAAATCGGTGTATGTGGGGTTAAAGTCCCAGCTCTGACACCTGCTGTGTGGTCTAAGGAGACTTGTACAGCTGTCCAGGTCTTAGCTTTTGCCTCTGCAATTGAGGGCATTTGGACTAGTCAGGGGCTCTCAGTAGAAGCACGGGGTCATTTTCAACTAAGACTAGTTTTAGTCTAGCGTGGAGCCTGGCCATGGCCAGTTTAAAGAGCTGCGCAGGTAATTCTAACACGCGGCCCTTGGTGTTTGCTGCCCGCAGTTCCCGTGCGTGTGTGGGATGCCTCATTCAAGAACCATGATGCTGGATGGAAGCTACAGTGAGTCTGAGGCCAACAGCCTGGCCGGGTACCCGAGAAGCCATATCCTGACGGAAGAAGAGAGGCAAGACAAAATCGTGGTCCACCTGGCCCTGAGCAGTGAATCCAACTCCTCCAGGAAGAAGGGGCTTCTGAAGGGCCAGGTGGGTCTGCGAATCTTCCAGAACACCCACGCCATCGACAAATACTCCAGGTTGATATTCCCAGCCTCCTACATATTTTTCAACTTAATTTACTGGTCAGTGTTTTCCTAGGGGCTCCAAGGTGTGGCTAGGAGAGGGCATAGACACGTGCCGGGCTGGGCCTCGACAGGTATCCTGCGTCACACTTCACATCTCCCTGGGACCGCCGCCTTCTGCTCTTGTGAGAGAACTGGTTCACAAGAACTCCCCTGCTATGCCCCCCAGACATTCTAAGACCCTCAGGAAGCCTCGGATGCAGGTGTGGAGGGAAGGAGAAAAACGAAGGACAAGCCTTGGGGCATTCTGGATTGGAGACAGGAAAGGGGGAGCGAGAAATCTGCACACCCGTACAACTGGACTAAGTGCCTACCTAGGAAGGAAGAGAGCTCAGGTCCTAAGCAGGAATGATTTGGCCTGTATGAGTTTGGCAGCCTATGTGATTTTGCAATATTAGGGGAGGTTATTCATTCATCCATCCATTCAACCATGCATTGCGTACTGAGGCCCCACCCTCTGCCAGGTATATTTCTAAGCTGTGCTCATCCTACACGTGGCATAACGTATTCCTGCCCTTCTGCCTCCCTCAACCCTGCTTACTCCACAGACTCATCCTGTTTGCTGGTGCTCTTACTCCTCCGTCTGTCTAGAAAAGCATTTCCAGTCTCCTGTGAGGCCCTCATGAAGCCAGCAGAATGCTTCTTTCCTGGAATCTCCATGCAGGGCAAGCCTAGGGCTTGGGAGAAGGGCAGAACTTGAGAATTAGTGAGAGAACTTGGTCTTGGAGAGGAAAGGGATGTGGTTCTTCTCTGCTTCTGGCTCTTCCCTTCCTGCCCCAGAATAATGTCCTCAATAATCCCTGCACCGAAGTCTTGGCCCTTCCTACTCTAACCAGAAGTGCCCACACTCCAGAATGATCTCTTTCTTACTCCTGCAAGTTAGTGACCCCTTCCACTGAGGCAGCTAAGCTCAGAGTGAGGAAAGCAATCTGGTTATTGAGTCTACACTAAGTTGTGACCAGCCGTTTCTCTTTACCCAGTTTTAGGTGATTGTTAGGTTAACTTAGTGACTCTTTCATTAGTGGAATTTCGAGGAGGGAGGAGGGGCATGTGCAATATACATAACCTTTACACTTGTACCCCATAATTCGCTAAAAAAAAAAAGAAAAGAAAAGCCATTATACTCATGGTTATAGTTTATTACAGCAAAAGGTTACAGATTAAAGTCAGCCAAGGGAAGGCAGGTGGTATAAAGGACATGATTTTGATAAGGGCCCTGTCTTTAAGTCATAGCACTTGGGATCAGAAGGCAGTTCTTGAGGAGCAGGGAGACAATGCCTACCGCACAGTCTTTGCTTACTGGGGAGGTAGTTCTGCTCTCTTTCCCTCTGCCCCTGCCAGGGTCAGGTGTCTGGCCTAAACTTTGGTCAAGAGTAGAAAAATGGTACAGCAAAACAGCATAACCTGCCTTAAATCAAGTAAGCTCTGGCCCGAGGGGTCTGCTCCACAGCTCACTACTGCCAGGGACAGCAATTCTTAGATCCTGAGGACTAGGGCACGCATGAATACTCCCAGAAAGTTCAAATTAGGGGCCTACAGCTCCCTGATCTCTCACTCCCACACCACGACTGACTGCACAGTTGCTCCGTGCAGCCCGGTTTCTCCGTTTCTTCCCCTGGGTCAGTCTCCCACCCACTTCCTCTGTTCCCACATATACTCCAGTGTGACCCTGGTCCCAGAGGCCCATTGCCCATGTTGAGCACCAGGCTCATCGTCTCTGGCACCAGCCCTGCAGCCCGGAGGCTGTGTGATCAGGGCTGGGATTCCAGGAGCTGGACTCTCAGTTGGGCTGGCCTCAGGCACCATCGCAACATAGATTACCTTGGGCAACTGCAAGTTCAGGAGGTTCCCAAGATCATCCTCAGGCTTAATAATTTTCTAGAAGGACTTGCAGAACTCAGAAAAGCCATCATACCTCCTTAATTAAATGTGGTATATGTATACCATGGAGTACTACTCAGCTTTAAGAAACAATGGTGATATAGCACCTCTTGTATTTTCCTGGATAGAGCTGGAACCCATTCTACTAAGTGAAGTATCTCAAGAATGGAAAAGCATGCACCACATGTACTCACCAGCAAATTGGTATTAACTGATCAACACCTAAGTGGACATATAGGAGTAACATTTATCAGGTGATGGGAGGGTGGGAGAGGGGAGGAGGGGATGGGTATAAACAAACCAAACGAGTAAGATGTGCAACCTTTGGGGGATGGACACACTTGAAGCTCTTACTCGAGGAGGGAGGAGGGGCATGTGCAATATACGTAACCTTTACACTTGTACCCCATAATTCGCTAAAAAAAAAAGAAAAGAAAAGCCATTATACTCATGGTTATAGTTTATTACAGCAAAAGGTTACAGATTAAAGTCAGCCAAGGGAAGAGACGCCCAGGGCAGGGTCCAGGGGAGACCAGGCACAGAATTCCCAATTGTCTTCCCCGAGTAGAGTCAAGTGGATAGTGATTATTTTCCCCAGCAATGATGTGTGACAATGTGCACGGAGTATTGCTGACCAGGGGAGCTCACCCAAACTCACCAAGGTGTATAGAGTTTTTATTGGGAGTCTGTCACATGGATCTAGTTGATGGCCCCCCATGGCTGACCTTAATCTTTAGTTCCACTAGAGGGAGAGCTGATACTGGTGGCCCAAGGCACCCATTATAAATCACATAACATAGACTATCTGGTATGGCCCAAGGCCCCCAATAAACAAAGACCCTTCTATCCGGCAGGGGATTTTGAGGGCATAGTGATCACTTCCCAAGAGCAGGGAGCTAAGGCTCAAACCTTTTTTGGACAGGGTAATCCTGCACTGCATGGCAATGTTGTTGGTCAAATCCTACTGTTAATGTTAATTGCTGTGTGTGCTGCTATTATATATCCAGACAGCAAACATTTTAAAGCAACCCCACCCTAGGTATAGTGGGGTCCAAATTAAGAGTAGTCACAGCTCTCAGAGAGGGGACCAAGTAGAGGACATGACACAAACATCTATAAGTTTAACAGCGCTTAGGGCCACAGTATTGGTTCAACGTGTGATGGGAGTTCTGAGGAAGAAAAGAAAGGAGTCCCACTGGGAAGACTGGATCTCATGGAGAAAGCAGCCTCAGAGGTTGGAGATTTGGAAAAGAAGAAACGGGGCAGAGTACATGCTAATTCTGCGCTGGCCAATATAGTAGCCACTAGCCATATGTCTTTAAGTTAAATGAAATTGAAAGCTCAGTCTTTGGTTTACACTAAGTGCACTTCACGTGCTCTTCTCAACAGCCACAGGTGCTAGGAGCTACTGTGCCCGGCAGTGCAGATCAGTGGAACATGTCTGCCCAGCAGAAAGCTCCATCAGACAAAGGACCAGCCCTAACAAAGGCATGGAGAGAGCAGGAAGGTTTTGGATTGCACAGTATGGGGTTTGTGGGGCGAGTCATTTGTTTTGGCTGGATCCCAGGCTGTATTGGAAGAGGAGGTGAGAGACCAGCTCTTCCCACAACACTAGAGGTCATGGCAGGTCCCCACCATGCCAGTGCTAATAAGGACAGCTTCCATGCAAGGAGTTGCCTGGCCCAAGACCACTGAATTTCCAAGCCTCATAGACCAATGAAGAACGAAAGTGCATAAACAACAGTAATTGGATGGTACGGGGCATCTGGAGTTATTTAGAAACCTTTTATCTCTAGAGACTCTCCTAGGCCACAATCTGCTCAAAGAATGATGATTATATTGTCATTAAATATATTGTATTGCTTTGCTTGTAAGTCTTATTTAATTCTATCACTACTCTGCTTCTGACTTCATTGTCTTCATGCATTATGTCTCATACAACATGGTTGCCTGTTCACAACTGAAATAAAGATGTATTTTTGCTAGCTTCTATATTTAACTGGAGTTAATTTTATAGCAAACATAGTTAGTTAGCATCATACAGTGTTTTATTGCATAGGACCATGACACAATGACACCACTGTGTTTAGCACTGCCTTATTGCAGTGTAATAGTCTGCACATAAATAAAGTGGGAAATTAAAGGAGGCAAAGTGGAGACAACAACAGTAGGAGTAGAAAGCAGGAACTAGGCTGGGCTCAGTGGCTCACACCTGTATTCCTAGCAGTCTGGGAGGCCTAGGCAGGTGGATTGCTCGAGGTCAGGAGTTCAAAACCAGCCTGAGCAAGAGTGAGACCCTGTCTCTACTAAAAATAGAAAGAAATTAATTGGCCAACTAAACATATATATAAACTTAGCTGGGCATGGGGGCGCATGACTGTAGTCCCAACTACTCGGGAGGCTGAGACAGGAAGATCGCTTGAGCCCAGGAGTTTGAGGTTGCTGTGAGCTAAGCTGACACCACGGCACTCTAGCCCAGGCAACAAAAAAAAAGAAAACAGGACTAAGGACATGTTGAGAACAGGGGATGATTCACCCTAGAGGCAGGAAGACATGGGAGCAAACAACTGTTATCTGGGATGCTCGAATGATACTTTCTTTCACTGAATCTACGACACCATCAAATGTAAGATGCACCAATATTTTATGTACCCCTAAGAAAGAAAAAATGCTGCTCATTAAATTCTGGCATGCCAATGATTATAAGCTTAATCCTGATTTCAACAATATTACATTGTGAAAAGTGTGCATATGAGACTAAAATGAGTTTTATACAGAGACTGATGATCAGATATACTTCATTGACACTGAGGAGCCAACATGTCTTAAGCACTTGTCTTCAAGGCCTGTGCTGGGGTTGGGGACGGAATGGCCCCAGAGAGAGGAATGAACGGGAAACACCCGTTAGGCATGAAGAAGATTATGATGGGTGTGGCTCAAGGGAGGGAAAGACCACTGACCTTGAGTAGTGCTGTTTGTGATAAATTTTGAGCAATGGATAGATCTAGATTCAACTCCCAGGAAAGGAGGGGAGTGGATGATAACAAGGCAGAAAGGAAAGCCCAGCTATGTTTGGCAGGTGGAGGAGGGGTGTCAGTGAATAGACACTCCACTGCATGTGTGAGAGACATAAGATTGGAAAAGTACATTAGAGCAAGAAGGGTTTTGATTAGGGAAGTCATATCTTTTAGAAAATCGGTTAATTTTCCAATAGAACATAAACTGGTATATTTTCAAATCCTTTTAGTTGCCAATGACATAAATCCAACTAAAAATAGTGCAAATAACAAAGGAGATTTATTTGAAGGATACTATAGCGGCTCATAGAATGAGAATTTACAGGAAGCAGAGAAGCTCTGAGGACTTGAGGGTTTGGGATTGAGAGTCAGTACATCCCTCCAGGATCATGTCTCCATCCATCACTCTGCGTCCATTCTCACCCACTGTAGACAAGTTTTCTCCATCTGCTGTGTGTGGGCGGGGAGCAGCCTCTACAGCCCTGGGCCCACAGCCTTCTAGATCCATGACCCTGGTGTCAAGGGCCTTCCAGGTTCATGCCACTTAGAATACATCCGAAGAAGGAATTTCATGGGTCTAGTCTGGGCCAAGTATGTTGAAGATGATCAGAGCTCTGTGCTTCGTTGAAGTTTAGAAAGTTAGAACCCTTTAAAAACATTTTTATTTGGTTCAATCTTTTTGTAAGCGTGTGCAGAAGGGAGGCCATGAATTTAACAAAGAGAAGGCTGCTTAATTTCAGAGAACCAATGAAGAAGGAAATAATGATAATACTAGCAGAAAAAGTTCATGCTAAGTTCGGTAATATGTGAAAGCCACAGCCCAGGCACGGACACTAACAGAGACTGGGAGAAAGAGCTGTTATGGGTGCAGGCTCAGCGCAACAAGGAAATGGAAATGTCAAATAAAAAGTTGTAAATGCTGGTCTGAGGCCGGGGTGAGATAATGATCTGGATCTACCCTTCTAGAAACGTTCAATGAAGCTGCTAAAGCGGACAAAACTCTTTTTTTTTTTTGAGACAGAGTCTCGCTCTGTTGCCCAGGCTAGAGTGAGTGCCATGGCATCAGCCTAGCTCACAGCAACCTCAAACTCCTGGCTCCAGCGATCCTCTGCCTCAGCCTCCAGAGTAGCTGGGACTACAGGCATGCGCCACCATGCCCGGCTATATTTTTTCTGTATATTTTTAGTT